GAAACTCTTCAGCTACTGATATGATTATGCGTACTGTGTTTTGTTACCTTCACCTACAGCTTCTATCAAGAATATATACAACCCTAGCTAGGGTAATACCCGAACCCTAAGCGCCTACGTACTGTGCATGGGCTGGTTTTGGTGTACAAAGTGTTAAGGACTAATTACATGGGCTGCGGCTGCTACATAATTAAATGGGCATTAAATGGGCTTGGAACCATGCTAACAGCCTCCCCAAATTGATGCTGATCAGAAAGCATCAATTTGTTAGACAGATACCAGTGTCGACTCGTGGAAAAGGCCTTGGTGAAGAGATCGGCAACCTGATCCTCAGTGCGAACATGATGTAAAGTGATAGTGCCAGCGCCGACGAGATCACGAACATAGTGAACATGAATCTCTATATGTTTAGTGCGATCATGAAGAACTGGATTAACAGCGATGCGGATAGCACTCGTGTTATCAACAAAGAGATCCATAGGCAAGGAACATGAGACACCCAGATCAACCAACAAGCGGCGCAGCCAAACCATCTCGGAAGCAACATCGGACATAGCCCTGTACTCAGCTTCGGTAGAAGACTTAGAGACCTTATCCTGTTTCTTGCAACGCCAGGAGAGAAAAGATTGACCCAACCGGACACACCAACCCGTAGTAGAACGCCGAGTATCAATACAACCAGCAAAATCAGAATCAGAGTAAGCTTGAAGAGTCATAGAACCAGTAGCAGGAAAGCGAATACCAACACCACGCGTTCCTTGCAGGTAACGCAGGATACGATGAACAGCTGCCAAATGATCAGTACGTGGAGCGGCCATAAACTGACTAACGACCTGAACAGCATATGAAATGTCAGGCCGAGTAGCTGCTAAGTAAATCAAACTACCCACAATACGCCGATAAACTGTCCCATCAGGAAGAAGATCCCCAGAATCACGACCCAATTTCACATTCATTTCCATGGGAGTGGCAACAGGACGGCAATCAGCAAACTGATGGTCCGCAAGTAAGTCAGAAATATACTTGCGTTGACTAAGCAAAATACCTCGGGAATCACAAGCTACCTCAAGCCCCAGAAAGTAGGATAACTCCCCAAGATCTTTAATATTAAATGCAGCGCCTAACCCATCCTTCAACCGCTGAATGCCGTGAGGATCAGATCCAGTAATGACCATATTGTCAACATAAAGTAAGAGAGCAACAATCCCAGCAGCTGTAGTACGAGTAAAGAGAGAGGGATCATTCTGACTTTGACGAAAGCCGAGCTGAGCAATCGTAGTATGAAACTTCTCAAACCAAGCACGAGGTGCCTGTTTGAGTCCATAAAGGGAACGATTCAGACGACAGACCTGATCAGGAGTACCCTGATCATAACCGGGTGGACGTTCCATATAGATAACCTCGTCTAAGTCACCGTGAAGAAATGCATTCTTCACGTCCAGCTGATGCAATGGCCAGTTTTGAAGAGACGCAACTGCCAAGAGTGTCCGAACAGTAGACATTTTAGCAACAGGAGCAAACGTCTCACTGTAATCCACCCTGTATTCCTGAGTAAATCCCTGAGCAACCAGTCGGGCTTTATACCGATCCACCGTACCGTCAGGATTCATTTTGACAGTATAAACCCAGCGACAACCAACAACAGATGTGGAGGCAGGTGGACGAGGAACCAGAGTCCAGGTATTACTTGCGTGAAGGGCCTCCAATTCACGACGCATGGCGGCGTCCCACACAGGATCACCCTGAGCCTGACGGTAGCGAGTGGGGACTACAAAAGAATCAACCCCATAAGCATGATAATCATCAAATCGGAGAGGTGGAATACCTTTCGTCGCCCGGGTGGAACGACGTGGAGCAGGAACATGGGTCGAGCTCGACGAGGCCAGCGAGAGAGGAGTGGCGGAGCTGGTCGCTGAACTAGAAGCCGGACTGGATGAAGGGGCCGATGAACTTGAGGAGGTCTCTGGCGAGGATGACGAGCTGGATGATGAAGTAGCAGCAGGCGTGGACGGGGAGGGAGATGCAGTGGAGCCGGAAGTGGAGTCCTCCGAGGAGGAGTGCTGCTGGGAGGAGGACAGATCGGACAAAGGGGGATCAGGAGGATCAATGGGAGGGAAGACCTGATCAGAATCATCACCAAAAATAGGAGGAGGAGCGCCAGGTGCCAAAAGCTGAGACGGAATGGAGGGTTCAGTGTAGAACATGACATTCTCAAAGAAAACAACCGAACTGGCGATACGTATACGTTGGGACAAAGGGTCATAACATAAGTAACCCTTGTGAATATCATTGTACCCAAGAAACACACAACGAGCAGTTTTGGAAGACAACTTGTTACGTTCGCGTTTTGGAAGTATAACAAAGCATAAACAACCAAAAACGCGAAGTCTAGAGTAACTAGGATGACGGGAGTAAAGAGCAAAAAATGGACTAGTATTTTTCAAAACTGGCGTGACCTGATAATTAATAAGTCGGACGGCAGTAGCAACTGCTTCAGGCCAGAACCTATCAGGGACATGAGAAGCTAATAGCATAGCCCTCGTGAGTTCCATGACATGGCGATTTTTACGCTCGACTAGTCCATTTTGCTGCGAAACCCCAGGACAAGACTACTGAGTTAAGACACCAAGAGATCGATACACGTCATACAACGGAAAGGAGCTAAACTCCCCGCCAGGATCGGAACGAACAATTTTCACAGGACGACCAAACTGGGTGTGAATCATTTTCAAAAAATCGGTTGCCACAGATTTAAGTTCAGATTTAAGACGAAGAAAATAAACCCAGGTGAATCTAGTGGCATGATCTATGAAGAGAGCAAAATACTGAAAACCACGACGTGAAACTACCGGAGAGGGACCCCAGAGGTCAGTATGAATGAGATGAAAGGGATCAGAAATGATGGTAGTACTAGATGGATAAGAAGAACTAATGGTCTTAGCTTCAACACAGCTTGTACACGAATGTTTGGACAAAGAACGAACATCACATTTATCAAGTAAAGACTGGCGAAACATCTGTTCAAGACGACTAGAATGAGGATGGCCAAGACGGGAGTGCCAAAGATCCCAAACAGTGTTATTGGACAAACTCGAAAAACAAAATGAAGATGACAAATCCAAAGGTAAAGACAAGGATTTCGACGGACTACTGACAAGCCTGTTCGACGGACTACTGACAACCCTACTAGAAGGACTACTGACGATCGACGAGGGATGGCACCCGTGTAACTCCTCCAAATGAAAAAGTCTTCCCCTCTTACTCCCTTTTCCGATCTGCCTCCCCGTCTTCAAATCCTGTATAAGACATCCAGTCGGGGCAAACACCACAGAACAGCCTTGCTCAGTAAGCTGACCCACAGATACTAAATTAGGAACCAAACTAGGAACGTGAAGGGTATTGGGTAAAGATAAATTCTTATCATGCAACATTCCCAACCCCTGTACCTTTAATTTTCCACCATTCGCAACACTCAAAGACATATCAGCTACGGGAACAAGATTGTCTAAACTAGCAGATTGAGATGTCATATGGTTGAAGCATGCCGAATCGAGGAGCCAAGGAGAAGTATTACCTGAGCTGTGGAAGGTCGCAAAAGCAGAACTGATGGCTGTGGGTAAAGACTTCTGGAGGGCAGCATTGACCATCTGCTCGACCGTGGCAGCAGTAAGCACCCCACCACCATTGCCGACACCCTCATCCATGAGCACGGCCGAGTTGGCCGAGCGATCAGCTGGCTGCCTCCACGGCTGTTCCGGGCGAGGCCCATAGTTGCTCGACGAAGAGCGATCAGTAAAGGAAGGGGCCCGGCCTCCCCCAGCACCAGCTGCACCACCATTACGCGCTTCATTCCGTTGCCGAGTGCGGCATTCCGAAATTATATGCCCAGAGCGCTTACAATATATGCAAGTATTCCATTGTTTGCACAGCTTCTTGGGATGGCCTTTTTCATGACAAAAATGGCACTCAATGTTAGGAGACGTACCACGATGCTGGAACTGCGGACGATGAACAGCAAAGGCGGGCGAATCCTGAGAAACACGAGCAAAGACAGATTCGCCTGCATGGGGACGCACGTCGAGTTGCGCCTGCGTACGGAGTCGGGTCTCTTCGCGGACGAGCAGAGGAATAATGCCATCAAATTTTAGATCATCCCTGTTGAGCAAAGTGGATCGAACCGCTTCAAATTCAGGCCGAAGCCTCATTAAGAACTCAAGCAGGCGAGCTTGTTGCCTTTCGAGAATAGCGTCGGCCGAAGCTGGTTGTGGACGAAGCGCGGCGGTCACGATGTCTTGCTCGGTCCAGAGTTCTTGCGCCAGGTTGAAGTATTCGGTGATGGAGTGATCTCCTTGCTCCAGCCGAGCCAAGGAGAGGCGAATCTCAAACTGCCGAGCCGGATTGACGGTGGAATAAGTGGCGGTCAGATGGCGCCACATCTGATGAGCAGTGGTGAACAGTCGGAGGCTTAAACACGTCGAGGAGTCCACCGAACCCAAGAGATAATGGCGGACGCGGGCATCACACTGCTTCCATTCGGAAATCTCTTTTGCGGGAGCTGTAGCGGCCGGAGATGGGGCTGTGCCATCGAGAACACCTAATAAACCTTTGCCTTCAATAAACACCTTGAATTGAAATTCCCAGAGAGCGAAATTGGTAGAGGTCAAACGAACAGAGGGGCGATCAGAATCCATTGCGTGAGGCTCTGATACCATGATAATCAATCGGAAATAACAAAACTGAAAGAACACGAACAACCAGATTTACGTGGTATCCCTGGAATGTCCAGGACTAATCCACGGAAGAGGTGAAACTCTTCAGCTACTGATATGATTATGCGTACTGTGTTTTGTTACCTTCACCTACAGCTTCTATCAAGAATATATACAACCCTAGCTAGGGTAATACCCGAACCCTAAGCGCCTACGTACTGTGCATGGGCTGGTTTTGGTGTACAAAGTGTTAAGGACTAATTACATGGGCTGCGGCTGCTACATAATTAAATGGGCATTAAATGGGCTTGGAACCATGCTAACAGCAGCCACGTGTCATCATCTTCGGGTACTGGTTTGAGCGATGAGGCCGGGGAGAAGAAGAAGAAGAAGAAGAAGGGAGGTGGTGGAGGTTGGCGGTATAAGGGAGTGAGGAGGCGGCCGTGGGGGAAGTACGCGGCGGAGATTCGGGACGGAGCGAGGACGTGGCTGGGGACGTACGAGACTCCACAGGAAGGATGCTGCTCTGGCCTACGACCGAGCCGCTTTCCAGATGAGGGGAGCCAAGGCGAAGCTCAACTTCCCTCACCTGCTCAGCTCCGGTAACCCTTCCCCGCCGCCGCCGGTATGAGCCCATTGGCGTTGTTTGTAATTTGGTATCCTTGAGCATTATCGGAATTTTTTTTCATTTTGTTTCATTATGTAATTATAGGCTCCATCCAATAAGGCAGTTTGGTTGGTGTCACATGGCACCGTACACAATTTGGCGTTTGGATCAAAACACCATCATGTAAACAATTCAGAGTTTTGGATGATGCTATCTCATGTCACTTATTTGACCAGTTTTGGTTAAGCTCGATGATGAGAGGTTTCTTTTGGTGTGAATTTGCTATTTTCCTATGAAATCTCTTATTCCGCAGTTTCATCGCATTACGTCATATCTTTTTCGGATTATTTCTTCCATTTGCGAACGGACCCCATCATTCAACGTTCTTTGTTGAGTTACAAGTCTCACAATTTCATAGGTTACGACGAGGAATAGTAATTTTAGGATGATTTTTAACAATTCAGATTAAATTAATCTATGGAATTGTTTTTCACCCTAGTTTTTACCCTTGCGAAATTGTTTTTCTGTACAGCAAATACTATTCCATACACTCCACTAGGGCTGCAAATGAGCCGAGCTGTTCGTGAGCGGCTGGACGTTCGACTCGGGAAAAGCTCGTTCGAAACTCGACTCGTTTACTAATGAGCCGAGCTTGAGCTTAGCCTTCTGCAGCTCGTGGAGCTCGCGAGCTAGCTCGACTCGGTGGCTTGTTGAGCTTAACTCGTGAGCTGGCTCATTAAGAGCTCATGAGATGTCTCAACTCTCAAGATTGTGGCTAGAGAGCCAACTCGATTATCGAGTTATATGAGCGAATCGATCTATACGAGTTTTATTTTGATAATTCATAGGATTGCTAAATTATATATCTCACTCTATATGAAATTTAACATGTAGAATATGTGAGCAAATATGTTTTATTTAATTTTAAAAAGCAATTATGTATCATAGATTTCTTCGATACTCTGAAATAACATAATTTTCACAATTTAAAATTTATTAACTAAATAATTTGATATCACAAAGTATAACATAAAATTAGTTAATATTGAACACTTAACTATTATTATTATTTTCTTCATCTTGGCATTAATAACATGTATTACATACAAAACGATATTAACATCAGAAATTTAATCGGCCCCGGAGTTCGAGTTTCTCTTGAGAGCGGATCCAGTGACTAAGGGGGGGTGCTTAGTCACTTGACTAAGCCCCTCCTAGGCCTTAGATCTGGATATAACAATCTGATGGTTAAAAAGTGGGAAGAGCTATTTAATTAATGACAGGGGTAGTTTGGGTATTATGGAAAATTACAAAGTATACAAACCGGACTTACAATCAGTACAAACCATACAAACATACGAACAGTACAAACTAGAGCGACAAAACATACAAACTGATTTACAAACATTACAAACATATGAACTGTACAAAAAATACAAACTAGACCGACAAAAAATACAAACCATACAAAAAGAAAAAACAACCAGGTTGACTTTGGAGGCTCCATCCCTATATAGAGGGGCTCCTTCCTAAAGTCAACCCGAGTGTTTTTTAGACATACAAACATGGTGGACAAAAATGACAAACTAGACCAAAAATTCATACAAACTGGAAAAATACCCGGGTTGACTTTGGAGGCTTCATCCCTATATAGAGGGGCTCCTTCCCAAAGTTAACCCGGGTGTTTTTTTAGACATACAAACATTACGAACATGGTGGACAAAAATGACAAACTAGACCGAAAATTCATACAAACTAGAAAAACACCCGGGTTGACTTTGGAGGCTTCATCCCTATATAGAGGAGTTCCATCCAAAAGTCAACCAGGTTGTTTTTTAGACATAAAAAATATTACAAACATGGTTGACAAAAATGATAAACATGGTGCACAAAAATAACAAAGCTTACAAACATTACAAAAGAAACCCACAAACATTACAAAATAACAAAGTTTACGAACATTACGAAATAAACCGACAAATAGTACAAAGCATACTAACCGTACAAAATGTCACTAAAAAATGACAAACAAGAATGATAAACAATACAAACCGAATCGATACAAACATTACAAAATAGATCAACAAACATCACAAATCTAGCAGTGTCGTCGGAAAATCCTTCTCCGTCGTCGCTGATCGCCGGAAACATTTCCTCCACCGGCAAAAAAATCTCTCTCTCTCTCTCTCTATCTCTCTCTCTCTCTCTCTCTGGACGCACCAAAATGGTGGCCTCATCTCTATTCTTTGAGACACGCACATTCCCATGAGATGCACAAAAATGGTGGCGGCGGAAAATCTCAACGGCCGACGTATGTTCCACATTAGATTAGGGCACACTACAAGAAAACACACATGCAGTCATGATTTTTTTCATGGCTAAAACTAACTATTTTGTAGCTATATCATATAGCTATAAATAATTCGCCTTGTAGCTTGTATGGCTAAAAGTGCCGCAGCTAAAGGTTAGCTACGTATTTTGTCACTTACATGGCTAAAACTAATTGTTTTAACTATGAACTACATATAACATAGCTAAAAAGGCGATATGTTCTTGCTACAAAAGTTATTATAAGTAGCAGAACCATCAATATATTTAGCTATAAAGACTATAATGCATGGCTTTATCTAATAATTTGCCACAAATAGTTTCATTTGGGATTTGTCAAAATATGTTTCTTGCCATAAAGTACGACATATATATAGCTTCAGACAAGATTTCTCGTGGCTCTTTTAGTTGTTGATTTGCCACAAATATTTTTGTAACTAGAAAATTCTATTTCTCACTACGAAAAAAACTGTGGCGAAAGATATAGGCTATAGCTTTAAATACTTTTTTATGGCTAGAATATTTATTCTTTTGTTACGAATCATTTTGTAACCATAATATCAAAGTTCTGGCTACTAATATAAAGCATCATGGCAAAAGGTTTAAATAGCTTCGGAGAGACGTGTTGTGGCTAAAAGTGAACACATTATTTGCCACAAATAATTCTATAGCTATATCGCTTGTTCTCTTGCTTCATGTATTAACAATCGTGGCTCAATCATTCATAATTTTGCCACAAATAATTTTTTGTGACTAGATACTTTAAATTTTCGCTACAAAATATGATTGTGGCTACATATTTTACATCTAGCTATGGGGGAACTTTATGTCTAAATTGCTTTGTAACTGTAGCTAATTTTACATTACGCTTTTGTAAAAAATTATTTCGCTAAAAATTTGTTTGTTGGCTTCGGTATGATAAATCGTGGCTATAATATGCAAATCACAATTGTCGCTCAAAGACTCATTTTATTCTTTTTTTTTATCCACAAATTATTTTGATAATATATAGCGTATTAAATAATGCTGCCAAATTTAACATAATAAATAATCTATAAATAATATTATTAAATATCCAACAAAGATTCTCAAAAAAAAAAAATTCCAACAAAGATGGCCTCCAAAATAGAATGACAATTCTTAACAGAGATCTACTAAAATAAAAGTAATTGTCTTCATAAAGAAAAAATAAGTTCTTCAAATCTTGCAGATAACTATGTATTTTCCATAACCTGCAAAAAAGAGAAAATGTATTAAACTCTTCAATTGGAAAGACGAGATTCGAGTAGCATTTGAAAACAAAATCATATTAACATATATATACAACTACATATGTATACAACTACATAGGGAGGAGATGGATAACTCGGAGAACCCTACTGCAATGCAATATCTTGTGTATTCTTTTTGGCAATTGTCCATGGTGCATCTGCCAAGTTAGTTCCTAAACGACTGAAATTCCTGCGCTTCACAACTATACACTGAAATTCCTGCGCTTCACCGTTCCGCTATTAAAAATGCAACACCGGTGTCGCTGCTTTTCATTGGTCCAAGTGGAAGTGACGAGGCACCGATTTTGTTTAATAAATCACAACCAAACCTCCAGCGGCCCATTAGAACTGGCCCACACGGCCTATCCCAAAGTAACGGACAAAATGGTTCTCCGTCCATTGTCCAAAGATCTGTATGTGCTTTTTTATTAGTTAAACTGATGGAACTGCTATTTCGGAGAATTAGAGAAGAAAAACAGAGGTAGATCAAAAAAAGAACAAAAAGCACACTTCCTCGATCTCCCTCGGCGGCGGCTTCTGCCAAATCACTCTTGGCCACTTATCCGTCGTCGACCCATCTTCAAGAGAGCAAGGGAGAGTGAGGAATTGACGAGGAAGGAGCTTCAACAAACGAGGTCTTCCAAGCTGTCAAGGAAATGGGACCGATGAAGGCTCCATGGAAGGACGGTTTGAACCCATTATTCTACCAAATATGATACAGTTTGCGAGGAGTTGTTGGGAGGATTCGGCGAGGGTTGATGCGGTGAATGATACGATTTTGGTGCTCATACCCAAGGTTCCAAAGCCCTCGATCATAGAGTAGTTCCGGCCTATAAGTCTATGCAATGTATCTTAAAAAATCATTAAGAAATGTCTGGCGGAGAAGCTCAAACCCCTCATGCCTCTCTTGGTGGATGAGACACAAACAAGTTTCGTCCCGGGGAGACACTTAACTTACAATATATGTATTTTGCAGGAATTTGTTCATTCCATTAGAATACAGAAGGGTAAGACTGGATGGATGGTTCTGAAGATCGATCTAGACAAAGCCTATGAGTGGATCCGATGGAACTTTGTGGATGATACCTTGAAGACTTCGGGTGTGCCAGATGAGTTCCGCAGGCTTGCTATGCGGTGTATCTCCTCGGCAAAGATGCAAGTGTAGTGGAACGATGGCCTGACTGAGGAGTTCTTACCCACTCAAGGACTACGCCAGGGGTGCCCCCTCTTGCCATACATCTTCACTCTCTGCATTGAACGGCTCGGTCATCTCATTCGAGACTCGGTGGAGAGTAAGAACTGGAAGCCTATTCGGCTCTCTCAGCGGGGGCCAACTCTGTCACATCTATTCTTTGCTGCCGATCTCTTGATGGGCGAGGCGACATCGGATCAGGTGGATG